AGTTCAGAAGCTCAGTATTGATCCGCTGATCTGTCAGTAAGATTTGTTTGTATTGAATTCTGATATCTAAGCGTTTTACGGTCGGGCAATTACTCAACGTAATGCTTTATTTTATTAATTACTTTTGAAATTAATCCTAATATTTACTGTCATTGCCTAGATTTACAGACAACATTTTTTAAACTTTAAAGTCAACGTTGGTGTATCATTATGGTTGATGAATGGTCACTATTTGGTTTAAAAAGCGACGTGTTATAGTCTTGTAATCGAGGTGAAGTGCTAGAGATTTGTTGAGTTGAAATATAAGGGACAGAATGAACTTGTTTCCTTTTACACTTACTGAAGTAGCTAAGTAAGAGAAAAAAAGCTCTTTAAGCGTTTTGAACACGCTTAATTTTGGTTCCTAAACTCCTTTCATAAACGACAAACATTATCAGATTTTATCTCAAAACGACCCTTCCTGGATTTGAGAATTTTGTAAGACAACGACCGTTTAATATTTTTCATTTAAGGTGACTTTACTGATTGATTTGAGTATAAAATTACACTCATCACATGTTTAGGCTGTACAAAACCAAAAGTTGACAATTGATTTCTGTATTCCTCCGCCCGGTAGCTCCTGTGTAACAGTTGTTAAACTTTTCGTCCACATTTTATTACAAGTTCATAGTACGAGACCTTTGGTTGCGTGGTATTTTTACATTTTGTAAAATATTTATTCCAGTCACAGAACGAAATTCGTAATTTGGTCACGCAGTTATATCTCCACCTCTGACGTTATCCACGGCATACGCGAACTGTTACTGACTGTGGCCAATTTGGATTCCTTTGAGCTGCAAGCCCTACAAGCGGTTCAGAGTAGAAATAGGAAAATGTAGAGGTTCTTGCCTACACTTGTTGACAAAAATTCAGCAATTCCGTCAAGCTGCGTGTCGGGTTACTAACGTCTTTAGTTGCCGCTCTCTCTGATAGCTGCTGTGATAGCCAATGTGATAGCTGCATTGCTATAACACACCTTTAGTAGTAGCTGACTTAACCTAGTTTTACGAAACTGTGTGTTCAGTAAAAAGCAAGTCTCACAATCTCCCACAGGTGGATCACGTGAGACACGTTCATCAGTCTATCCTATTCCTGATAAGTCCCCCCCCCCCCCCCTGAGCGGGGAAGGGAGACAAGGGTGGTGGTCCCCCAGTGGTGTGACCTCCTCTCTGTCATCAGCCTGTTAGGTGGCCATCTCTCTTTAACACCTGTTAGAGGCATCCCTCGATCACCAACCCCTCAGCCAGCAACCCAATACGAATGATTTTTATCAGATCCTAGAGCCATAACCACGTGACTCCCTATCCTCCAATCCTGACTCTGAGCTCAGTAGTTGAGTGATATTTGAGCTGGCTGCCCGAGCATTGCGGGCTCAGTTTACAGTGTCGTATATCATATCATATATTTTACTCGAATTAGTTTCATAGCATTTCAAGAGCCTCCGTTCGTCAATATTTTCCTGAATAACCCGCTCCCCTTCTCCTCGGCAGGGTGGTATCCACCATCTCGCTTTTAATAACCCGCGCTACTTTGGAGGACTTTATACTTTTAGAACCCGTCGTAATCTCAGTAGAGCAACCAGCAGGGACTTGTTAAAGTTTTATGAGACAAAATTTAAAGGAAATTGAATTTTAGGAAACAGCTGCAGCCTCATTCTGACACACCTCCTTATTCTAACATAAGGTCTCAGTTTCTTTGTTTAGCAGTGATTCTTCCGGAGGAGGTATAATCCGATATGATCATATCAAGTTGCGACAGATAGTGGTCGTGGTGCGAGTAATTGGTGGGCCGTGAACCCAATAGGATTCGCCAAAATCACATTTAACGGTTAATTTGCGGATAGAGTTTCCGATAGCACCAATTTGTTGTTTGAACTTCAAATCTTACTGTAAATTTTATCGCAGAAGTGGTTCAAGATCAAACTTACAATTATTGAGGCAAATGGTACCAAATGGTTCCCGTGTAATTTTGCACCGAGGCTAATTTTTACCATTCGAGACCTTGTAAATCTTGGGAGGTTCCTCCAATTACGAAACGACAATACACCTTTTGAATTTTCCTGTATTTTAGTTTTGACGTTTTGATCATTGCAAGATCATAAATCATTGGTATTTTGAACCCCGAACTTGTAATGTATACACTTAACTGCATAAATTAAAGGGATTATAGCATAGTTGGACGATCATATTGATCCGAATTTTGTAAATGTTGAGCCTAAAACCAAATGTTTCTAACAGCACCTCTGTACCAACAAGTAAGGGTAAGACGTAATTTTCAACTGTTGCAACAGATAAGACTCATATTATATGGCTTGTGATATCTCCACTGGTTCTAGCAATCTTAATACTCGTAGCCGTGTCCTATAACTGTAATACAAGTGTTGAAATAGTAGTATATTTCCTGACTTAAGTGCGATAATAAATGTGGACTTCGAAGCGCTTTTTTTCTACATTTATTTGTCAACAGACCTTTACTTGGCACGAAACGGAAAAGATTCTAACTTTCAGACGAATAAATAGAAATGCAGCTCATAAAACAACTTACTAAATAAGATCACTATGTATTATCCGGATAGGAACATTATTTATGAGTCGCATTGTTGTAATGTTTAGAGTTCACAATTTTTGATTATTTTTTTATGAACTCTAAACATAAAATCGCCATAACAACTAAATAAAACAAGTGACAACTAATATTCTAGCTAACTTAAACCACTATTTTAACTAACCAAAAAACCACTATTTTAGGCGATATGGGCTCGAGTTCGAGCATCATGCAAGCTACACTGAACGCGGGAGGAGACGTACAAAACTCCACAATCACATTCCACTGCCAAGAACTGAGGGAAGCAGGAGAAACAGAGATAATAGCCGCCCCTCCCAGTAGCCTGAACCTAAGTTCTCCTGATAGCGGAGTAACATCTATGACGTCATCCGGAGACAACATGACGTCACCCCCTAACTTACCAAACAAGACCTTATCTCCACAAGACGAGCAGGCAGCGGTAACGCGATATTTCCCGATAATACAGCCCCAAATCTCCAGTTTCATTCCTAGGATAGAGATAATAGAACACAACATGCTTCCCAACTTCCTGGATGCCAAGAGCGGTGACTCCAAGGACAGGCACACTAAAGAGAACTACTACTATTCCTGTGATATCTGCTCCAAGGGCTTCATGTTCAAAGGTTCACTCAACCGTCACCTGGCGAGACACGTGCAGAATGGACGAGACGGAGACGAGGTCAGAACCACTCCCCGACAGTTCCCCATCACGAACAAAGGCGGAATTGGGACCTCAGAGGTGCGGTACCAGTTAAAAGATCCCCGACTATACGAACAACAAGGCAAACTCCAGATCCAGCAGCAAGAGAAGCGAATCAGCAAATCAGCCAGCACAACTCACGGAACCAAAAGCTACTCCACCGCCAACAGGAAGGCACGTGACAAGTGCTCCCTCTGCGGAACAGCCGGACACACCCCTTCCAACTGTAAAACATTCCCTAGAAACCTGGTCCTGGGCCAGAAAGTGCTCGCTATCTGCAGCTGTCTCAAGTGTAACCGATCCTTTGATGATGTGGACAAGTTAAAGGATCACATCTCAAAGTGTCAGGGGTTTGACAGACCTAAGCAGATAGTGCAGAGCGAGTGCAATGTCAGATGAGAGGATGTTGCACAGCATCTGACCTGCTTCCCATGGACGCTTGCCACCTCTCTCTCGCTACTTCTTCATTACAGCTGTTGCTTCGAGTTTCAAAGATCAATCTGGGAAGAGGACTGTACATGTGATTCTTTAACAATCAAAACTTGACAAGACAGAGCTTGTGATTTATAGCAGCCAATGACACCGTCATGGTAACGGTTACTATTATAGTAACTGTTGCTATGACAACTGTAATCATGGCAATGCCATTGAGTGATCTATTTGATGAACTGGATTGAGATTAAATTATGTTTTATTTATTTTTGCCTTCGAAGGGTATTTTACAAAAGCTCTGGAAAGTGACCGTCGTCTTTATTTCCGAACGGCCTGTGGAATTCGTCTTCAACTTTAAAACAGGAACCAAACTTATGGCCATAAAATATTTAGCTGCCTTGTAAATATAAGGTTCATTTTTCAGAGCTTTCCTCAATTTTGCATTTCTTCTTGTAGAACTGCAAAAAAATTGCATGATTTTATTAGTGATTTGATTAATAATTTAATAATTTAAGTTTAAAGTAGGATTGAATCTTCATTACGACATTTTTTTCTATAACCTCCGATCCCAATGGACCTTCATTTAGTCATTTCAATAAGCATTGATTTCGAGATTGCTCAAGATATATAATATGAAAGATTAGGCAATGGCTCAATACCGATTAGTATAACTTAACTATATTTGTTGCCATTAGATAACGGTAACTGAGGTGGGGTGACCACTGACCACAGAAAACTCCCTACAAAACTGAAATAACTCTTTAAATGTTCGCACATAAGATAAAATGAGCATTTACAACATTTGTTGCTTCATAAATAAGGCTACTCTGAATATTTTCCAAACTTTCCATTTCTTTACACCTCTCTCTCTCTCGCTCTCTCGCTCTCTCTCTCCCCCCCCCCCCCCCCCCCCCCCCCCCCCCCCCCCCCCCCCCATTTCTTTACACTTCTCCTAGCCCAACTGCAGATCAACTCCACACGGCTACCGTTATCTATTAGGCGATGTTTTCACAGCAAATTTAGAGAATCCTTAATCTATTGATTTTTCTGTTCTGATTCAGATAAGTTGATAGTTGGTCGAAGCAAACATCATAACATTAACTGCACCAATAATTATTACCTACCACAGTTAAAAAGGTATTACTTGAGCTCATTGCATTTCACTTTCACTTCTTTTGGGGTTATCACTATTTGTTATTTAAGTCGATGATGTTTCTTAAATATGCTAGTTTTAATCCGTGTAACAACAAAGAAAAACAGCTTGTCTGATAATAAAATAAACTTAAAAACAAATAAAATTGAATCTTATAAAATATCACTGTATTTACATTTTACAAAAAGCAGAATCTATAAAACTTAATTTATGGACAAATACTGATTACGGGAACTCGCGGAAAAGAATAATCAATATTATTTAAATTTCAAAGCATTATTTTACTCATTTATAATTTGTTAATTACGGAGCAAATTTGACGTTAATTATGATTGAAAAACAGCAAAACAGTTGCCCAGCTATAACTAAATCAGCATTGTTGATTGCAAATGATTTTATCATTTCATTTGAAGACAAAATTATGGAAGGTCAGCTGGAATTATTCCAACATGAAAATTTTAAAGATTCGATCAAATCTGGAGAAACGTGAACTTTTTGGCCCCAATCAACAATTCGGTTATTATTTTTCATGCGAAGCAATATCGTATGATCTCCTGTTATCGGCTTCCTCCAGACGAATTACTATTTCCGTCCATAATAGCATGTTAGTCTTCAAAACTAATTCATCGTCTGTTTTCTGATTCGAGGTGGCAAACAGTCACACTTTTAAAAGTAGACAATCGTATAAATAGAGCTTCTTTTTCAACAACAGGAAATTGTTGACAGGTTTCTTTGCCTTTATCTTTCTAATCAATAACTGTGGAATTCGTGTCTACAATTCAACAGCAGACATATTTGAAGTTAGGCAATTCAGCTCAGTTTGTCCGCATGCTAGTCTGCGGCAAAAGAGATCGACGATACGAGAGTTATCATTGAGACTCACGAATGTCCTTCAATTTGCAGGTTACAAGCAACATCTCTTGTCAAACTGTGAGCATCAGCTAAGAAACACGGCAAATCATCGAGTGAAGTAGTTGCTATAGTTGCTATAACATAGAGTGCAGTTGCTATAACGGCGATTGTAGTTGCTGTAACACCTTAAATTACTATGACACCTCTTCTTTCAGATGGATCGACTCCTCCACATTTCCCTTCAATCTAGCCATCTCCACTAAGTGCTGGTTTCGTTCTGTCACCAATCTAGGAATAGATAAGAGTTAGATAAGGTATATTAAATCTGACAATAGATATAAAACCTAAAGGATAGAGATAACCAAGTTATAACAGCAACGGTAAAAGTGAATTCTGAAGAATGGTCTAAAGTAACAGTTTGGAGAAAATAAAATGCAATCAGACATGATAAAAAGGTCTGGGGACCTCTGCGACACGGTCGACTAGGTCACACCATTTAAAAAATCACCACTTGACACAACACATGCGGTAAATCAGTGTTTTGCACGTGCAGAATTTCTGTAGAAATTAAACAAGCTATGCTAGTGTTTACTGTTTATAGGTTGAACAGCTACTTTACCTCTCTATCAGTTTGGTCTGGGAAAGATTCTGAGATTTCATCTGTTCCAACTGAGAACGTAGATCTGTTATCATTGCCATCGTTTCTTGCAGACCTGGTAAAACAAAGCTGTCATTACAAAAATCTTGAGGCAACCTATCTCCATTATATCCGGTGTATAATTTCATTCAACAAAGCAGCTGCTAAAAGAAATATTTAACTTTCAACACTTTACAAAAATCTTTGGGCAAAACGTATTACAACTGAAAACATAGTTCTTCATTATCTCAGCACTCTAATTCAAACTTTACAGATTTTAAAAACATTGATAATGGACCCATCTGCGCGGCTCAGCAAAACACCATCAACTAACTCTTACTCCTTCATAAACCAAGCACCCACCTGAAGAGTCCTGTCTCTTTACAGGAACGTTATGGAAGCCCCTTATCTGCGTCATCAGATCCTTGATGACTTTGTCCTGTTTCCTCTTCTCGTTGGCTCCGTCACAACGGAACTGTTTGATTGTAGTCTCCAACTCTGTCTTCTCTTTCTTTAGATTCTTGATCTGGTCTAGTAGCTCGCGCTTACTGTAGTCGCTTATATCCTGGTGGAAGGGTGCATGATTAAAATGATTACAACATTATTGCATGTAAATATCAGTTAAGTATAATCTTACGATAATGAGAGTTTGAGCTATCAGAGCGAATTTAAAGTAGCTAAAACTTGGAATATCTTAACTCTAGATTTACATTATTGTGTGTACCTAAACTTGGAATATCTTAACTCTAGATTTACAATACTGTGGGGGTACCTAAACTTGGAATACCTTAACTCTAGATTTACAATACTGTGGGGGTACCTAAACTTGGAATATCTTAACTCTAGATTTACATTACTGTGGGTACCTAAACTTGGACTACCTTAACTCTAGATTTACAATACTGGGTACCTAAACTTGGATTCCCTAATGTTTGGCACAATACAGTTAGACACTAATTGGGCCACAAAAGGAAGCTATAAAAGTGTCTAACTGCACCTAGTGAGATAAGAAATTAGCAGACACACAACAGTTTCCGTCACACGTCCATTAGTTCATTATATCCGCGGATTACTCCAATATTTTTGACAAGTCCGCGCACTAGGTACGAACCCTAATAACGTCCGGGCTGCCATATTACGTGAGCTCTAAAGATACACACACACTGGCGACCTCCCAACTACGGCCCTGTCATCGTCCTACTGCTACTTTGCAGTGTTCTACAACAAAACACTAGTCTTAAAGACACATGTTAACTGCAGTGGAGTGAAATATGAGCCCGGTAAAGAGTAGTCCGCCTCTTAGCTGCAGCTCTCTCTCTGTTATATGATACTCCACTTATTAATTACACTAGTACTGCTACCTAACCAATTGTATTTTACTGCAATTTGCAGCGCTGTCGCTCAAGGATCTGCGCGGAATTAACTCGCGACTAACGAAGTATCCATTTTCAGCCTCAGGCACCCGAGCTCTTACTTATGTAAGGGGTGGTGACGACGGCGAATTTTGTAAAAACTTTTCACTTAAAATTAAGGAAACAAGACCAGCAACCACCTGCGACCAGATTAACCCAGACTATACCTGTCTTACAAGGTTGTAATCTTCTCAATGCTCACTTAGGAGTGACGACAGAAGGGCGTGGAGATATCTCAATCTCTCAGATTTCTATCTTATAGTGAGATTAAGATTACACTTTGCATTCCGTATAAATAAGCCCGAGTTGATCAGATTTCACAACTCCTGTCACGAAGTCTTTCGTTGAGTTGCTCTGCATATATCTTATTGGCAGCAAGCCAAGTTTTGAACAAAATAAATAGGACGTATGTATGGAAACATCAGACCTGCAGCATAACTTACCAGGAATTTAAAATGCGACAGTGAGTACTCGAATCTAAAATTGACTAAGGAGGGTGATAGCCGATACATATACAGACTCCAGCTCTGACAGTACAATAAAACAAAATATTTCCTAGTGTTTGACAATACACAAAACAATAAATCACCTGGTTAAGCATGAGTCCGTTTTCTGAGTACACACTCATCCCGGACAAGGATATGAGATCGTCCATTTGTCTGACCTTCCCTCTCTCTTGTATCAGCTTGGCGTGGAGCGACCTCTTCTGATCCTCAAGTTCATCGTACTGATCCTCGTCTGCTACCTTCATGCTTAGTTTAACCATCTGACAGTCAACCTGAACAACATGTCCACGTTATAAACTTGTTAGATTACTGACGTCATTAGTAACAATACAAATGTGGCAGCAAAACACTTCTCTGAGTTCCTTAACTATAATCACTTTTTAAGAGTTGTCGTCACGTGTTTTCAAGTGTCGTCAATAGTTTAATAAGTGTTGGCGTGTTGCCAAATCAAACTGACCTCTGAACTCTATCCTCACTCAAACATTTTACTAAGAAAACAAGCTAGTGTGGAACAGGTACCAACTTTACTTAACAGGACTTTAGTAAGGGTCACTAATAGTAAGGGTCACTAAGAGTAAGGGTCACTAAGAATCACTAAGGGTCACTAATAGTCACTAATAGTCACTAGAGTAAGGGTCTGACTCACAGTAACAATCTCCTCCTCCAGTATCTTGATAGTGTCCTGCATCTCCACCTGCTGTTTCTCCTGCTCTGTCTTAATCCTCTCCAACTCTTCCTTCTCCTGTCTCTCCTGCTCCAGGTTGTCCACCAGTCTCTCCTGCTCCATCAACAGAGCCTCCATCTCCTCGAAATCATCTGGTGGAGCGAATTTTAGTAATCTACAAAAGTAACATCATGTTTAGAGTCAGAGAATCGGTAAAATTGTTCGGATTTATTTTATAACAATCCTGAACTTTTTTGGAAAATTGGATCTGTTTATCGTTGATAAATGATAATCGATGATTTTTTGAGGCCACCTCAATAAATAATGTCAATATAACATTTATTTAAAGCCTAGAATTCAGATAACTAAAGAAATATACTTACTGTAGATAACTTTAGAGTCACATCTCTTAATGAAATGTGCGACCTCCTCCTCTTCCTCCTCATCTTCTCTCCTATCCGGTATTTGCTCATTAACTAGGTTTATATCATTCTCCTTCTCATTTTCCACATTAAAGTTGGGCTTCATTATTAATGGAAGCTCTTCTTTCTTTTCAGGTTCTCTCTCTAATAATTCTTGTTTCTTTGCTAAAAGTGCTTCTAGTCTGACACGTTCCTCTTTCTTTGCGGGCTCCTTTTCTTTCAAATTCTCAATAGATTCTGAAGTCTGCTTTTTAAGAGCCTCATCTTTTTTCAAATTCTCAATAGATTCTGATTTCTGCTTTTTAAGAGTCCCGTCTTTTTTCAGATTCTCCAAAGATGCTGATTTCAACTTTTTAGGAGTTAGTTTCTTCAATTTTGCTAAAGTTTCTGATTTCGTTTTCTTAGGAGTTCCATCTTTCTTTAAATTCTCTAAAGATTCTGCTTTCTTCTTCTTTGGTGTTTCCTCTTTTTGTACCCTGCGAGTTAAACAGGTTAGCGACAAAAATAACGATTCGTCAATATTTCATCCAAAATAACCCCCACTAATTAACTGAGTAGTATCCGACCATATTTCAACATATTTTCCCGACACATTACCAAACCGCCGAAATCATTATGAAAACAAAATATGCTTACTTTTTCTTCTTCTTAAGAGTACCGTTTCTCTTAAGGGTACCACGAGGAGAAGGTGGCGCATCTATTGAGCTCTTTCTGTCATGCTTATCACCGCTGATAAGGGAGAAGTTTCGTTAGCATTTCTAGAATTGAAATCCCCGGTCTAAACTGGAAAATGGTTAGACTCCCTATATAAATACTTCGAGGAAGATAATAATTTGCTGAATTCTTTTGGATTAATTTACAAGAGACTCACTTAGGAACATTTATAATAGGAACAGGATTAGTTGAAGTTTCCATAATAGAGTTAGGTCTACTTTGTCGGCTCTGTTTGCCAGGTCTCTCCAAAGTTCTGGTCTTGGAGTCTGAAGAAGAGGTTCTTGATGAAGAGGTTCTAGAAACAGTCCTTGGAGGAGCGGTTGGCATCTCGGAAGTACTCCGGAGAACCTTAGGCTGCTCAACTTTCATATTGTCGGGCATCCTCCGGGGCAGGGTCCGGGACTTGAACTCCTCAGAGTTCCGGCTAGATCCGGAGTTGGTTCTAGTTTTACAGGGAGTTATCAGTTCGTCACTCCTTGAGAGGGAGTTGTGTCTGCTACCTGGGGGTGTGTCACCAGGACTACTGTTCAGATGGTCTCTCCGCGGGGTCATTACTGTCAGATCCTCGCTGTTCTTGCGGTTCTTCCGCTTTTTCATGCTCGCTCGTTGGAGTTTGGAGAATGGGGACTCGGATTGGTCAGTGGGTTGCTCAATCCTCTGAGGCTTCATAACCTCGGGGGTGTTTTTATTCTTGTTCTTCATTTTAAGTTTCATGTTTTCAGTAGTTTCCCAATCCAGAGCTGGTTTATGCTGGGTATGCAAATTAGTGGGAGTAGTTGGATCTAGATCACTGGGGTTCTTTAGGAACAGGGAACTGTTATCACTTGACGCGCTAATGATACTAATCTCGCTGATTGACTCCTTCCTTGGGATCAGAGAGTCGTAGATACTCTCACTACGGTCACTGGAACACCGTGTATCCCAAGCTTGGGTACGAGGGGTTGTGGGGGTGGGTGGGAGTGAGGGACTGTAGGGGCCCTCTGAGATGTAGGATACTCCGGAGCGGAGAGTGTCTGTGTTAGCAGTGCTGCGGCTACACGAGCTCAGAGCATCGCTGAAATCCTGCTCTCTGAAAATAGTTCATTGTTAATAATTTGGGTGTGAATATCTTGTAGGATATTATAATAGAACGTGGGTAAGTGTGTGTTTTGTACCCACATCCAGAAAGTTTTCAATTTCCTCGCAGATCAGTGTTTCCCCTCTTCTAAAAATAACCTTTTGGCACCAAATTTCTTCCTAAATCCACAATTTCATCGCAGATTATATCTGCCATCTCTCTGGGTGTGGGGTTTTGTATCTATGTTCAATGTTGTATGTTTGCTGCATATCCGAAGTGTGCAAGTTTCGAAGCAATAACTACAGAACATGAGGGACCGGCAACTGTCATCACTACAATTCTGTAATTAAACCTCGTGCTCTAACTTTTGACACCAGCCGAACGGAGCTAAATATTTTCTGACAAAGAAAATATAGTATATCTTCGGCCGCAGTAAAAGAAAACAGATAGAATTGCCTTAAAACTGCAAATTGGATGGTAAACTAAAGGTGCAAAAGTAACAACTTACGATTTGAAGTCATCAGTATCGCCCGAACTGAATATGAGAGAAACATTCAGCCTGAAAATGTTTGAATTTCCGTTACAGTGTTTTTATAAGGGTTTCAAGGGACACAAAGCCTCCAAAAATAACAAACGCTACACAAATATGTCAGAAAATGTTCACCTTACTATATATAAAGCGAGACGATATATATATACTTTTTTTAATACTTTCAACACTACTATATAACAAATAATTTGAGAATTGATGTAAATAAACGATGCAAAGACTTTCGAAGATCTAATCACAACCGCTTTCTTTTATTGTGTAGAAGTCCAGCCATGAAATATATATATATTTATCTGTGCCATTTTACTGACACCACGGCATCAACTTTAACGCGACTTTCTGCAAAACCCGTAAAAGATATACAACTGACACTTTTTTGACTGGGTCAAATGCTTTAATGGCCTTCAAATCAGCATGAACAAATAAAAAATTGGCCAAGAAATAATGATTTTAGAGCCCAAAATTTGGACCCCCAAGTGGTGTCAAAAATGCCAATTAAATAGGTAATAATTATTTTAGTCTCTTGAGTCTTGACACCGTTTAGGGTTATATTATACGGGTTCCTGCTAGTTATTTAAAACTGTACATGTTTGTACTTGTAGAGAAACAGCTATATAAATAGTTGACACCATCTCAACTTTAACAGAGCTCAGACTTTACCACACACGAAAATAAAACGGACTACAACATAACATTGAACCGTACAACAACAACAGTCAATACCACCGTGACAGTACCATGACATGTTTCTATTATAATATAATATGTCTAATACCATTAACAGTTAACAAGATGGTGTATTGTATTATTTGTACCGTGTTCCGAACAATGAGCTCACAGCTATAACACAACAACACAACGATCATTCCTGGCCTGTCAACTGTAGATTAGTGTTTGGTCACGTGATTCTAAGAGGCGTGAAAATACGTCAGGGAAATGGAATGGGCACCTGTGATATCTGAAACTTGCAGATGTAATTACTGTGAACTGCACATTAGATAATAATAACAGACGTAACAACTCTTATCTTTCACAATATAAACAACAGACAAACTGAATAGAAGTCAGAAGACAGACAAAAGATCCCAAAATATACAGCGACAAAGGACAGCGGACAAAAGGCACAAAGGCGGGACAACTTCAAGAATCCTTAGGCGAGCTCAAAGGTTAACTACTTGTTATACAAAACGTAAAATGTGGGTATGATATTAATACTCGTTGTTTAGCAATGCTATTTCTATGTTTACTTTTAGGCTTCGGGAAGACAGTGCCGCTTTCAGTTTAAATTTAACGAGTAACTCTAATTCTGAAAATGTCTACCGAAATGATCCTGCAGTTTTCACTCTTTATGACATTACACTCGAATAAAATGAAAGTCAGTCAAAACCAGACAGCATACAAAACAAAAGGGCTCCATTTATAATAAGCAGAGATAGTTTTAATGGCCCAATATCGTAGAGGACCGCGTAATACATCGTTATACAGCCTAATAATGATTAACGGAGGTAATTACACAAAGAACAGCAGCATATTACAAGACCTATGCTCATAATAAATGACATAATTGGAATTTGTGGACCACACTTTCTACGCTTACAGCGCCCAATTTGAAGACATTACGCGATTATGCGTTGTTTTGAGAGCCAGTCAATTTGGACCCGCGCGCGCACACTTTATTTATCGTACTGGATGCTTTTTTATAACTTTATATTTGTATTTTGATAACGCGCGCTACAAACAATCTTGTGGTCCGTTCCACTTTTTTATTGCTCTTCTATAATATTCTTTCTATTGTTCGTACACCAATTCTTTCCAGATTCATTCCTAAGTGTAACAGCAGAAGAAGCATCAATCGTAACAACTGTGAAAAATTATAACACATTTAGAACTACTTTATTCTGAGATGCATGTCCTAAATGAAGTGATCGTGTGAGGTTTAAGAGTGTCGTAAAATGGAAACGATTAATCAGAAAGGCACTGTTACGCAGAGCAGAAGTGTTGTCATATTTAGATGTCAACAATTCTTATTTGCGACCACACATTTCGGTTTTACCCCTGCCATATCCGATATTAAACCAACTTACAAATCTCCAGATCTGTCCTTCGTTGATTCAGCCACATATCCAGCCATGGACTAGAAAGTAGAAGGGGCTAAACTTAAGCTCATGTCATGATTAACTTCAAACTTGACTCAAGACGTTCTAATTTGGTACGGATAATGTAACTTAATTACTAACTACACTTACATCTCACAACTTTACAGATCCCTGAGGCGAGATAATGTGCTGCATATCCACATTTCAACATATCCACATTTCCACATATCCACATATCCACATATCCACATATATTATAATACTGGCCGGGTGCCTTAAACCACTAGTCACTACAGCTGCAAGCTCGGTTACATATAAATATACCAATACAATCACTTTCTTATTCTTGTACCCTCATATAGCAGATATCAGATCCCTTCAGCTTATTGAAGCATAGAGGCCCCATCTTCAGCGGTCAAATAATGGCGTGAATTTCTGATCGTGAACATTTTAACACATTTGAACAGTAGATTCTGTCAACAGTTGACTTATCTTGGAGCTGCAAATGTATAGTGTAGTGATAAGGGGGTATTGTCTGTACATTGTGCAAGTATTGACAAGTATGCTATACGCATGATGTTATCTTCCCATATTAATGTAATTATTTGATATTGTACTCAATACTGTGTTTGTATAGATTCATTATTAGTGTTATCTGTATACTATTAAATTCCATCTATACTTTATTATTTTATTCATTAATGGTAGAAAGCTTCTCATCAACTGTAGTTAACTGAATACAGAAACTAACTGCACTGGATATGAGCCAACCTTGTGAGGATTACTTAAACAACTAGACTGGACAGTGGACATGGGCCAAGTTTTGACGCATATTTATTTTCTATTGTGCGATTTATAATAACTAATCTCATGACATGCATTATCAGAGAAATTACGAGTTATTAAAAAGTTTTAGAATTACAAGAGTTTCCGCAACAATGGTGAGAATCGTTTCTGAATAGTCATTTGATTTTTACAAAACCAACAGTAACTATAACAGTAACAAGCAAGTTGGTGACTGGCCAGGCATACAGTTCAATCTAGGGAAACAAAACCAGATTATAAATTGCAAGTTGGAACTTTATCAAAGTTAGAACGTGCGTGGGTATGTGTATTTCATATCATGTTATAGGCGACAACAAAATACGAATAAATGTAAATGTAATCTCCTTAAATACCCCATAATAACCGTCATGTAATCTTATTAGAAAATCAAATTTTACGGAAAGTAATACAATCAATACAGCGTCTCATTTCTTATGGGTAAAATGACTGCTGTTTGATAAGCGGCAGCCAAAATGTCTGCCGAAATGTCTGCCGAACTTTATACACACTAAAAAGGACTTTAACAAGACAGGCGAACGAAACTAAGTTCAAAACACACGAAAAAACCACAAACAAACTGAAAACAAACGAACTGAAAACAAACGACAGGAAGACATCAAACAAAGTGACATAGCACTGAGACACGTAAATAGCTATAACAACCCAATCATACTAAGTTAGTAGTCGCACAGTGAGCCGAGTACGAGACAAGATGCACAAAATGCGTTATTTTTACACAACACATAACAGCATATCATTAACATAACAACATATTATTGCTTACTAAAATATTAACAGTTGGGAACAGCCCCCATAATAATCTCTACATGTTACATAACACAACAGATTAGCTACTACTTGCAGCACGTGCGTGACAACTCTTTAAATAGGTACAGGTGTAACTAAGGGTGCGGCTGAAAGTACCCTCCACACAGCTGTTAAGATTATTACACTAAAACCCGCGCAGACTGTTCGAGCAGGAACTTCTATTCAAAGGTATCCGTGATTTATCCAGGAAATTGTTCTCAGCGAAAAGTGAACAGTCGCAGAAAATATGCGGCGATGGAAATTTGACTGTGATAATGTGGTCAACTATATCCGTTTCATAAGGTCACTAGGTAAGGTTAAGGCGTCTAGAAACTGCGGCCATGTCAAATGAGGGAAAGTTCTCAGATTATCAACACCTGCAGCGCACATTCCTGGGTTCTCAGAAACCTTCAACATGAACACTTTCTTAAACATGAACACACATACAATATACTGCTTACTACAGACAAATCCAGGTATAATCTAGCTATAATATAGGTATAATTTAGCTGGTAACTTTAAAATATCTAGTAACTCACCTGTTTGAATGCTTTCTAGGCTTCATAACTGAGTTGCTATCTCTTTTTCGTGGCATGCTATAAAAATAAGAGAATTAGTCAAATAGGTTTAATAATTTGGTTAAAGTATCCTTTCTTTTTTAACACAATTGGTTATTTACAGATACAGTCTTTACCATAAAATCAGTAAGTGTATCAATAAGAATGTGAATCATGTTTCTGAGTAGATAATACTGAAAAACATGACTGTAATGCACTGAAAAGCTACGAGCAGTGAGCGTCAAATACCAAAATACCTAACTCTTAAGTAGCTGAAAATAACAAAGAGCATTACAAATTTACAAACACTTTACGAACCATTAGCAAGTTTTAGTAACACCCAATAAATACCACAAGTCACATAATAAAGTAGCTGGTAGCTATCATAAAGTAGCTGGTAGCTATATTTCAGCTATCAACAGATACCAGCAGTAAATACAACTGTTAATAACACACAGACAACTGTAAACAACAACAGCGTATGATAATTATATCTTACTTGGAGCTTGTAAAGTATCAAGCCCCCTTTGTAATGAGGACAGTAAGTAAAAATAGCGACGGAAAGCAGGTAGCAGATGCAGTAACGCATTATTGACAATGTCAAGATTTATGGGTTGTCATGGCAACAACGCTAGAACATACTGCCATGGCAACTACTTGTCAAAATGGTACCATGACAACAACAAATCTAGACAAAACTGAAAGGTTCCCACGCAAAGTTATAATGCTTTTAACAATAACCCCTCCTTATCAGTTTGTACATTGTACAAGGAGTAGCAGTACTGTACAGCATTACAGTGGATGATGCAACGAAACCAAGATTAGCGGGTAATACTTACAAGTGTAATATTAACTGAGTAACCCAACAAATACGACAGGTAAAAGTTATTATAGTGTTATGATTTAACCATCTTAAAAAACTAAACCCCAAAATGTCGACTTTAAAAATAATATATTTCGTCATGTCCCACTTCTCCCACTTCTCCTGCTCTAGCTTCTCTTATCTCCTCTACACCTCCTGATATACACGAGACATATCAAATCAAGTTAACAGCACGACAGCAAACTAAAGTACCAAATTTGCAGGTTTCTAAGAGCCAAAAGAGTAAAGAGTTGGTGCGATATGGAACTAAAGTTAGAGGGTATCCTCTGTCAACCTCGCCAGTCTCCCCGATATACACCCACACTGAGTAACATGTACCAGTTACTGGTACTGTACCAGTTATACAGGGTACTACAGACATAACGCCGTCACATGACACGTCATCTTGTATCCAGGAAACACATTCCTTGTTCATTTCACTGTTTAACAACAACGTGTGTTGTCATGACAACTGCAAAATGAAGGAAGTGAATGACGAACACATGGCGTGATGTTATTCTGCTGTTCATTTGGCAGGTTTCTCAACAGTTACAAGCTTCTACACTTGGTCACTACAAGTCAACATATCAGCTCTGAACTGATTTCTGTATAGTTGCACTAATTATCAGTACTATATCTGTGCTTATATGTCTGTAATTATATCTGTATTATGTCTGTACTTATATGTCTGTACGATAACAGATATCGGAACTAAATTTAACCTTACAAACGGTATTTGAGGTGAACCGTCTATGTTATCTGTAGTTGTAATATTATTATCAATAACAATCAGGACCTGATTAAAGGTCATATTATTTAACCATAATACCATAGAAGTTGTGCTTCATGGTACATGTCTACAAGTAGGTACTGGCGGCTCATTTGTTAATGAAAGTTTAAAGTAATACAGTAACCATTGTTATTTACAGAAACGTTTTAAATTAAACATTGTAGTTATTGATAAATAACTGTTACTTCCAACACAATCAATAGAAAACATAACAAAACATGCTGAATCTATGTTTTACTTTGGTTATGCAGTCATTTAAATTCTAATCGCTGTCCTTTGAAATGGTAAACTAAACGATTTGATAATAAACGGAAAGCAGATTCAACAAAGTACTGACGTACTACAGTAGTAATGTCTGAAATACTAACGAAATGTGTAATATACATGTCTGCATAGTCTTATGTCTGATAATGAAACAATCCTGTATTATTAGCTTAATAAACTCTGACGTCTGGAGCATGATGGGAATGTAAAAGGGATCATTTATCAAACTGCAAGCCCATCAGCTACACAGCTAAATGGGATTATAAATAAAGTAAAGTAGTAGTAAGTGAGGAACATAGTGATTCATCATGTCAGTAAGTGGCGCTAACATTCGTGCCACCAAAGTCTGTCTCAAGAGTCTAGCTATCATTCACAGTTTAAAACCTTTACTTTACAAACGATCAAATAGAGTATGCCGCAAAATAGGGAAGAAGCCACCTGAATTACTATGTTTGTCATGCTCATGGAACTTTAGGGCAAGTTGCCAAGAAACGTGATAATATTATGTTTATATCATGCCAATCGCACTAATCTTAAACAGGAAAATTTTAACCCCTGTTATAAAAGTACAGTTTCATGATTGTCATGTGCAGGGGACTCGTATATAGTACAGTAACAATTATAGAGCAAGTTTAGAATCATTGCGGCACAATGCCAACCTGTTGCAAGTGGCAGAAAGATGCAGAAAGTGCCTCACAAAACTAGTATAACTATATAGCTACATTACTATTAGCTGATTACTCTCTCTTCCAAGAAGTGCTGTAACTTTTGCAATAAGAAAAGCTCATAAAAGCTGGGGACGATATTGCAGAATCGTTAATTTGATTAAACTGGCGCACCAAGTAACAGTATTATAATAGAGCAACATTTTATGGTTCTTTTTGTCATCCCATTTTACGTACAATTTATTTCTTACACACTCAAAATTTGTAGTTTATTAATTTCGTACGAGGTGAAGCCAGACATTTGTACTTTACGATGCACAAAATGGCAGGCAAAGTGTCTTCCCTCTGCAGTGAGAGTACACAATGTCATACATATTGCAACATTGTAGTGCTGCAGTCCTATTTATACCAAAATTAGAGGGGGACTCCAACAATTGAAACACTGGTAAAGATAGCGCTGTTTAGAGGAGGACTCCAACAATTGAAACACTACTAAAGATAGCGCTGTTATTGTAGTTTCCTGATCACGTGACCAATCCAGACATTTCCTCGGACTGTTACAATCCAGACATTTCCTCGGACTGTTACAATCCAGACATTTCCTCGGACTGTTACAATCCAGACATTTCCTCGGACTGTTACAATCCAGACATTTCCTCGGACTGTTACAATCCAGACATTTCCTCGGACTGTTACAATCCAGACATTTCCTCGGACTGTTACAATCCAGACATTTCCTCGGACTGTTACAATCCAGACATTTCCTCGGACTGTTACAATCCAGACATTTCCTCGGACTGTTACAATCTCCCATATTACGCAATGTACGGATTTGAAATATGCGGTCAAAATCACGGTAAATCACGTCATATTATTATTTTGCGTGTGCATGTTTATTATTGGAAATATACTCAATCGTGGCCACCGACTATTGTACATATGTAGTAATATTATGGTCCAATTAATCTTACTGAATTTTATACCACACTTTAAACAAACACTGGGGTATTCAACTATGACAACACATGATATCCTAAAGTAAGTTATACAAAACAAAGTAGCCTAAAGAGAGTAATGTACCTACTCAAAGGTTTTGAGGCTACTAACGATCCCAAACTCAAAACATGCTATTTGAAGGGAGGCGACAAATGGCCCTACAATGAGCGTATACAATACAAATAGCGAAATAGTAGGGAAGGGTGTATGAGTGATTTTACCATCTCAAATTACATGCAGCTACAACTTGTCAACTCAAATCATGTGCCCCCAACGAAAGATAGGTGTTGTAACAATGTAAAGTGTTCTACAAATGGATTGGAATCTGAATCTAATCCGGGCGGCTGGGGACAACAAAATCAGTTTTCAGTTTTCAGTTATAAATAAGTTCTTAAATAGGCTTTTAAACATTGCTGTCAATAACATTACATTACTTTTAGGGGATTAGTTTCTGATTTTAGTTTAATAACAATACTAGGACTCAGAGATAGCTAAATTAGGGTATTAAATATTCTCAACTTGTTAATTGTATACCTGCGATTCTGGAGCTGTTGAATTTCCCCTCAGAAAAATGGACTCTAACTTCCTGTCGTGAATAAATCATTTCCCACAAGGAGGGTTTCGAAAATAAAAGTTCCGCATGGTTAAGGCTTCCTGAATATCAGGAGGTGACATATCACTACTCTGATCCTGAGTACGTTTCCCGACAAGGCGTGTAACCAGCTCAGCACTTCATGAGGCAGATTAAATTAATATGCACTTTGGAGTACCCACTCTGGAGTACTCAGTACCCATAATTCTTACTTACTATAACATAATCTGCAACGCCCCCTGGCTCACTGGGACATTCATTATTTAATTCAGATAGATCCTATGAGAATTGGAAATAGGCCATCTTAGTGGGGGCTGCGTATGTACTTCTAACTTTCTGACTTGGAGCAATGTATACCCATTACCGCGGTAACTGAGATAATGAGGTAACTGGCATTTATTGGCATGTACATTTAACATGTATCTAACTGAGGAAACCGACTCCTCCAGGAGAATAAGGACCTAATTAAAGTAATGTATAAAATATAATCTTATAACTTTATACAGCTGGATAGTAAATTAGTCTAGTACACTGAATGTCGGATGTTAAACGATTACTATTTTATAAAACCTATTTTGTGGTATCCTAACTGTAAACCTCTCAGTGCCTAGTCCGATTATAGACTAGTGTTTTTATGCGATTACAGTTTCTCAACCTCAGGGTTAAAATCCCGTACAAGTGAAAGAGCAACCAACATTAACCTGTCAAAGTAAAGCTGTCAAAAGTTGTAAAGGAGGGTTAGTCGTTTGAAACTACTAATCTGCCGTGTCCGAATAATGTGTCACTTTAAAAACAAGTACCTGGTAACGTGCATGTTGACCTGTTAAACAGAACCTGACATGATATAATATTATAACCTGGTCACTTTTGT